TGAAGCCAAGGATTGATTGTTATTGCTATATAACAATCAAAGGTTAGATCTAAACCATATTTTATGTTAATATGATTAATTGTATGATAGATCTAGGGTTTATAGCTTTGGATATTCAATTGCATGTTCATTAAACAAACTAGATCTAAAAGCTATTAGGGTTTGCATGTACACCATAGGAATGATGTATTGCTCGAAACCCATCAGTTATGTAGTAATAACAACTTATTTCTTGAATCTCCTTAGCTTTGAAAGCAAGTACCACAAGTGTAGTACCTCTAATGGCTCATAAACACACTTGAGAGAAAGGATGAATATGAGAGAGAGGATGGAGGGTAACAAGCTCACAAAATCGGCTCTACTAGGGTTTCTCCAAGGGGTAGCAGATTTTGAGTGCCTTAGGGTGCTATTTATAGTTGAAGTCAACTAGGGTTTCAAGGTGGAAACCCTAATCCCTTAGCTTAGGGCCTAAACAAACCCATGGACTCCTTTCCTTAAGCCCTTGGATGAAAACTCCTAGATCCTTCTAGGATTTTCGGCCAAGCCTTAATAAAGGTGATCCAATGGCCCAAAGTCTCAACTATCAAATAATTACAAAACAGTCCCTGCACTATTAATTAATTCCTTTAATCCCAAAATTAATTCCTAATTAATTTATGATTAAATTTTAATTAATAATATGATTCCAAATTAATATATTATTCATATAATATATAAACAAATCATATTTATACCCCAATTTATTATTCTTAACAATAAATCAGCCTCTCTCCTCAACAGTCATCCTGTCTAGTCACCAGTGTGAAGGCAACCCAAAAGGACCATGCTACAACCGGGTCAAGTACATACCAAATATAGTTATAGACTTAGACACTAATCCAACAGCAACCCCATCATGGCCTCCACCTCAGTGTGGAATGCACTCAGCCTCTCGTCCAACAGCTCCATGATACCCTCCTTGATTGTATCAAAGATCATAGGAGTCTGGTCTATAATGCTACGCGTGATCTCAGATGAGATGAACTCCCTCATCTGGTCGTCTAGCTGCCCGGCTCCAGAGCCTGATCCTGATCCCTCACCAGCGCCTGAACTGCCGACTGTTCTAGTGCGTAATACCATCATTCTGAAAAACACATCATAACTATAAAATCAGAATACTAATCATGTCTCGAGGGATCACATATACTACAAGTTCCTTGGATTCATCTCAACCTTCCTTGATTCGAGTACGGATCCTCTGCTTTCAGTAGTACGGGCCCATACTACCTTCCACATCTATCCGTACTTTCCTCAAGAACTGCCTTGACTTCACCAAGTCCCTTCTACTACTACTGCTTCATGTGTTACTGTCATCCTAGGCTTTCCCTAGGGTAATCACCATTCCACTCTCCGCCATCAGCTGCATAAGAAGTCCCTGCTATCTCCCCCTAACGGTTGGACTCAAACAAGAGTTGCAAAATAGAGGTAGACCTAACATTCTGAAATTATTTAGTCCTTGCAATATGTAACTTAACATATTTGTTTACTAGTTAGTAAAAGATAACTAAGACTCCTAAAAGCACAAAGCAAGTAGCATTCGAGCATTGAGTAAACATAATCAAGTATATCCTAATCAGACCATCATATCACTGACTAATCTGTACTAGCATGCAGTTCATAAAGCTGATACACATATAACATGCACATAAGGCATCCTTCCTAGATCCTTAGCCCTAATCTAGCTTGCAGTTCTCATAAGGATATCATAACATAAACTTGTATGGGTAATTTGGGAGTACTTACTTGAGCTCGGCTAATTGCATGCACTACACCCTTTTTATCTTTTCAAAGTTCTTTTCTCTTTTCAAAATTCTTTTTATAAAATGATTTTCTTTTGAAAATTTTCATACCAAGTCCTTAGTTTAAGTTCAGACACACTCGAGAGTGTGCCCGAATCGCTCAAACCAAGGCTGTGATACCAACTTGAAACATCCCAAAAACACAGTCCAAAAATTTCGTTTTAAAAATCATTTAAGAAAATCATAATTCATCAAACACCACAATAAAGATCAAAAGTTATGTATCTCAAATCATCATAACGAAATACTGTATTAATATCATGTCTCGAAATATCAGAGTCTTAATATCCCAGGCTGAACAAATGGTGTGTGTACTGCAATCATCCCGAGCTCTTCCCTTTGCTACCGGACGTACCTGAAACCAAAACTGCAAACTGTAATCACGAAGCTTAGTGAGTCTCCCCAAACTACCACATACCACACATAATCGCATATCACATAGATTGGGCCCCGCCTTGCTACATCAGGCACTGCCCGACATCGGCTTGTCCGGCATCGGGCCCCGCCCGGCATCAGACCGCATCTGGCATCGGGCCCCACTCGACATCGAGCAAAGCTCAGCATACACTTGAGCATAACTACCAATACACACACCATACGCATAACTACTTAGCGATAACATATATACATTCCTCGGGCCCCGCCTGACATCGGACCGAAATCTGGAAACATGCAAACATTCCTCGGGAACCGCCCCGGCATCGAACTGTAATCCGGAAACATACGAATACATAAACATGCAAGAATCACAAAGACATCAAGCATACTAACATTCTTCGGGTACCGTCCCAACATCGGATTGAAATCCGGAAAAACATATAAATCTACACCGGGCCCTGCTCGACATCGGACCTTAATCCGGAACATACTATCATACATAAACGGGTCGGCCTTGGTGCCTTAGACCCGTTCCTACTGGGGGGAAACTCACCCCTGATCAAAGTCAACATTTTGGTCAAAGTCAATGTCTTGGGTTAACCCAACTCGCCGAGTTGACTCATCAACTCGCCGAGTTCTATGAATCAAAAACCCTGAAATCGCGATCCAACTCGTCGAGTCATCCCCATGACTCACCGAGTTCCCTGGCTGGTCATAGTCGTGATTTGGCAAATCAACTCGTTGAGTCCCTTCACAGACTCGTCCAGTTCTACCTTAAACTGAACCAGGACAACACGACTCAACTCGTCGAGTTCCTCTATGGACTCGACGAGTTCCTCTGTCTATTTGGGCCATTTTAACAGATTAAGCCTCTACTCTCCAGATCCAAAGTCCATACTTCATCTACACACTAGAAATGCTCTTTTAAGGGTAAAGTTTTCAACTTTACCCGCTAATAATCCTTCTTAGTGGGTTTAGCTAAAGCCCTAGTTCGTTAGGACATAGATCTTTGTCCAAAAGCCTTATTACTCCAACCCAAAGCATGAAAACCGAGATCTAGGTCCTAGACACCAAATGAACACGTAACGTCTCAGACTTTACTTCCATACATAGCCTTTTGGGGGTTAAAAAGGCCATAATAACGTCTTTAAGCTTGCATGGGGCTTCCATGGTCATAAAGTTTGCACCTTTATGCCATGAAACCCATTTTATATCCTAGATTTGAAAGGTAAGCCACTTGTGACGTCCATGTCCCAAAGATCAAGATTCTTGAACCAAAACACTCATAAAATGGAACTAAGGAGATCTAATGAACTAATAGCCAAGTTAGAGACTTGATTATCAGAAAATGATGAGGATGGAAGGAAATCTTTGGATCTACTATCTTCTCCTTGAACCTTCTAGCTCCTTCTTCTACTTCAAGCTTCAAGAACACACAAAGATTACTCAAGAATGGCTCACACACTCACAAAATGCTCTAGGGTTTCGTGGATTATGGTTTAGGACTTGGAGGCTGGAAATGAGGCCATAAGGTGGGGATTAAGATGCTTAAATAGGGTGCAAAAACCCAAAATTACGGTTTCACTCTGGCAGACCTACTCGTCGAGTTGAGGGCTCTCAACTCGTCGAGTAGATTGCTTAAAACCCTGCGTCCAATCTTGTTTCTACTCGACGAGTCTGAGGCTCCCAACTCGTCGAGTAGCTCTACAAAATGAATAAATTATAAATAAATGCGTACCATAAATCAAGCGTTACATCAAAAAGTTGGGACTTGACTTTGATATACTTATTGAAGGATGGGACAAAAGCTAGTAAAATATAGTGTCAAGTTAGAAATTATGATAATGTAAATTGGTGTGTGTATTATCTTCATGTATTCACTTTGAATAGAAAGGATTCAATCCTTAATGACACTGATATTCGAATATTTGGATTGAGTAATATACTAATGTGAAATTCAATCGTCACGAAATTTCATTTATGCATATTTTTTGACAGATTAGCCAAGGTCCAACATTTTCGTTAATCTATTACTAACCGTCACAAATGTTTTAAAATTCGGGTAGGTTGTTTATCATTCTTGATGGTCTTATTAGTTTCCTCAAATCATACAATTTAAAGTAAGTGATTGCCATCTTCTTTATACTAATCTCAATGCATGCATACTCGATCGCTTTAATAGTTTAATAAATAATGTATACTACTTGAACACCTTTAAATTTAGGTTTTAATTTTGTATAACTTTAAGGTTAATGGCTTAATGATTTTATTTATTACTTTTGTTATGCTAACATTGTATTATCAAATAAGATAAATTTGTTTTTTTTTTCTTTTTTTTTTTTTTAAAACAGGAATCCGATAAAAATCTACCCTTTTTCTTAATTTATGACCTTTGCTATAAAGCACTAATCACAACAATCACATTGCCAGTGTCATTTCCTTCTGCGTTCCCTTTCCTTTTCCTTTTCCCTTTTCCTTTCTATTGCAGTAATATTTAAGTTTCTTAGCATCTGCGGAGATACAAGACTTCTTTTCCTTTATCTTCTCTAAAGTGAAACAATGTCCATGAAAGCAGATTCAAGGTGCCTGTGGATACCTAAGACCAAGCATTAATACAGAGTGCTTTCTGCTCTCTCAACTAACTTTACAATGTTTAATTTTTAAAGCATTCAAACTTAGTGAATTTTAGATTAGTGCATAGCATTGTATACACACACACTGAGATCATTAGCCTTTCGCTCATCTGTTCATTCTACATAGTCGTTGTAATTAATGGCTGATAACATGACATCTAGAAATTACAGAAGGATCAATGCTGACTTGTATAAATCTCTTTCGGAAGGAGATGACGCCAAGGTATGTGATGCATGCAGAGACTTGCCAGATGGTCCTTTGCACAAGCTAACCATACATCGCGACACTATTCTCCACATCGCTGGTTACTACAAGCGTAACAAGCTCGTTCTTCAGCTACTCAGTCTGCTACCTGAAGACGACTCCAACAAACTTACATTAAAAAATGAAGCCGGAAACACCATTCTTCATGCCACAGCCACCAATGATAAGACTGTCGAGGCTGCTGCTGAGATCCTTCACCGAGCTCCTTCATTGCTCACCATGACTGACAGGCTCGGAGAGACGCCTTTTTTCCGTGCAGCCCGTTATGGCAAGATCAAGAGTTTCTATTTTCTTAAAGGTGAAGTGAGTAGGAGATTTCCGGAAGAGGCAGACTTAAAGGGTTTTCTTCGAAGAAATGATAAAGCAACTATACTTCACGTTGCAATCCATAGCGAGAACTTTGGTAAGAGTGTTTACAGTGATATATGGTCTTTTTTCTTTTTAAAAAATTTCCTGCAACCCGAATTTCTAATATATGAATGTGCGTGCACAGATTTGGCTCATGATATTGCTGAAGCTTATCCAATGTTGATCGGTGAACAGGATGGAGATGGGATGACTGGTCTTCAACTTCTTGCCTGCAAGCCATCTGCTTTCAACCATGGATTCGAAGAGAATTTCTTCAAGCAGTTCATATCTAAGTGTATAATAATACTAAGACCCCATTTGTTACACAAAACCCTTTATTGTGTTTGCATGTATTCGAACTGAAGTGGACTAAAAAAGGGACAAAAATTGCATATTTTGTCCCACACAAAAAAGGGGAACAAGGTGGGATAATTAGGGACTCCGTGATTCACTCCCAATATCTTGTACATAAAAAGATGTGAATGCGTTTCTTAACGTCATAATTGAAAAAAAAAAAAAAAAAAAAAAGATATTGAAAGTTTTTGTCCAGTCCAGCCAATGCATACTTGCAAGTGTGGTAGTTAAGCAATTACAACACTCTTTTTAACTTGTTGACTTTTACCTGGATCTCAGTTATTGATTTGAGTGCTAAAGAAAGAACCAGTAGAGTGCCTATCCTGAAAGAAGTTCAGAAACAAAATCGAAAAACGGAATCAGCAAATAAACTTGCAACCCTTTTAATTGAAAAAGATGCCTCATGGGAAGCAACATCACCCATGTCAAACCAGAACAGAATTAAACCCCACAAATATGGAGGGATATCGTCTTCAACCATAACTCCTGTAGATATTGTCATCAATGCTCCTACTCATGACTCTCCATTGTTTTTAGCCACAAAATCGGGTTGTACAGAGATTGTAAAGGAAATACTGCAAGTGTACCCCCAGGCCGTAGAGCATATTGATGAGGATGGACGTGACATTTTGCATGTAGCCATTAAATATCGAAGAATGGAGATCTATAAAGCTGTGATCAATATGAAGTTTCCTTTAACGAGGCTAAGGGGGAAGATTGACAAACAAGGCAACTCAATACTTCACATGGTAGGCATGAAAGTTAGCGATCAGAAAACCGAGGGGGACATCAGAAGCCCTGCTGTCGTACTACGAGATGATTTGCTTCTATTCGAGGTAATCACATTTTATCCTTTATGCTTCATTTTTTACACACACCAAAACTTTCTAACCCTATATATTTTCATTAACCAGAATCAAGAGAGCATTTACGTTTTTTTTTTGCATACACAATAGATTGGGAATGAGTGGTCCCACCTTTTTGGGTTGGACAAAATTTGATTTTATATACAAGCTAGTCCAACGCACACCAAATAGGAGTATGATATGTAACATTGCTATGTAACAATTGAAGCCTTAATTAGGAGTATGATATGCATATTTTGTAATCACTACCAGAGAATTAGGCCACATGATAACCTTTCTGACATTTTTTTCTTAATTATTCTCTCCAGAGTGTGAAAAATATATGTACCACCATAGCAAGCTTACAGGTAAATAACAAAGGCGTGACTGCTGAACAACTATTCATCGGGAACAATGCACAGCTTCGCATTGATGCCAAAGAATGGATGAAAAGCACAGCTGAACATTGCTCCATTGTTGCTGTGCTAATTGCCACAGTTGCCTTTGCTGCAGCTTACACTGTTCCTGGAGGCCCAAATCAAAGCACAGGTTATCCACTTCTCAAGAGCAAACCGTTTTTTATTGTCTTTGCCCTAGCCGATGCACTTTCCCTCACATTTTCTTTGACATCAGTTATCATATTCCTTTCCATCCTCACATCTTCCTTTCGGTTAAAGGATTTCAAAAACTCTCTTCATAATAAACTACTCCTAGGCCTCACAGTGTTGATACTCTCCGTGTCAATGATGATGATAGCTTTTGCAGCCACGCTAATCCTAACCATTAGTAGTGGGCAGGATTGGACAAACATTATGTTGTACATGATCTCATTCTTTCCAGTCACTGTGTTTGTGTGCTCATACGTACATCTTTATAAATTGCTCATTAAAGCGTTTGAGGAAAGAGTAAAGATGATTATAGCTTCAATATTGCCTACCCTTGATGTTGAATCAATAAACCACCCCATACATCCCTCTCAACCTCCAACTGCCACTTCTTTTGTTTGATTCTTCAATTTGTCGGCCATACCTTCTTCTTCAAGCAATCTACCTCTTGAATGTCTAATTACTTCATTATTTCTTTATGAGAACAAGGCTTTACTCTATTGTATGACATTAAATCTGTACTATGTTTAGGCTTTCATTTGTTGTGTTTATATATATTGTTGTTATATTAACATTTTTTTTTGGTTTTTTTTTCCCTGAGAGATGTCTATTCGAAACAAAAAAAGTTCATACACCTTCTATGCTTTGAGTTTGTTGTGTTTATAATAATAGCTAGGTTATACACTACTGGAAAAAGTGGTATTACCGACAGAATTTTAGCGACGGAATAATCTGTCACCTGTTGGTAACAGAGATGGAATAGCGACGGATTTTACGGATTATGAAAATCTAAGTATCATGATTTTAGCAACACTTTTTCGACGGCTTAACAACAGAAAATCATTTATGTCGGTAACCCGTTACATGTTACCGAAGGTTTACCGACGAAAATAAACTAACTTATACGTCGTCGCTATTCCGTTAGTAAAATTACCATTTTTTTTACTTTTTCTAAATTATAGGGGAAAATTGGTAAATGAAAATGATAAAGGATTAAATGGTGACCTTCAATTAATCAGCTAATAGAGTTAATCGTGTTCCACTGCACCAAACTAAGGTGTCATTTGTTTTTTCGAAGAGAAAATGTCTGAAGTCTGCGGACCACCTTTGCAACCCTCTGTAGCAGAAGAGGGGGACCAAACGGCTGCAACATGTAATAAAAACTTTGTTAGTTTTTTAACCTCTGCAGACTGCTGCAATAACTTAAATTAAAATGTGAAGAGGTTTGAAGCAGAGGGTCAAGTGATGCGTCACGCAACATACGCGCAACAGTTTTTAAGTCAGAAGTTTTCTAAAAAACAAACAGCTGCGAATGAACAAGTGTTGTGCATATGCTGCGCGGTGCAGTAACAAGTGGTTAGAAGAAGTTTTTTGAAAAAACAAACAGCACCTAAAACTTCTCCCTTTTCTCTCTGTTCGCGTTAAAGGCATCTACGAGAACACCGTCCTACTCCTCCTCCTCTTGTCGATCATCGTCGACCTCGTTGTTATCACCGCAACCGCCAGGCCTTACAAGACGATCTTCTTCATCACATCCACTTCCTTCCTCCTACTACCCAATCGACAATAATCACCCCGAAAACCCTAGTTTCCCCTACCAAAACCCTAGTAACTCCGCTCGTTTGACCTTCTTCATCATCGAAATCCATGAATTCCACCGCACCAGGTCCTTCCCCCGTCTGATCTTTCCCGAACGACCAGTGGAAGATGTTGTCTTTTCAAAACCCTCTTCTTCTTCCTCGTTTCGCCGATTGCACCCTCGATCATTAGTATTGTCGGTGTTGTGGAAGATGATTCTATAGAAGCTTTTGATGCCATAAAAGCTTCTGGTGGATCACAAAAGGCATTAAAATCTTTGAGTGTTGGTAATTTCATATTCTCTTTCAGACTAAAGTTTCAGACGAATCACCAAGCTTCAACAACATTACTTCAATGGAATGGTCTGATGAACTTAAAGGAGGAAAGGTTGCACGTATCTCTGGATTATTTGATAAAATAAGTTACCATGTACGCAATGCTTTTCCACTCGAATTAGAAAGATCGTCCTTCAGTAAGGCTCATGTTCCTTCAAAATAAAAAACAGGGAAATCGATGACTTACACTTTTTAGTTCGAAGCATCACAAGAGATGTACCTATTTTATAACCTGACGGCTCAAAGGATTCAACAGTTATGCTAGTGAAACAAAAAGAAATCTATATTCTTCCAACTGTTGAGATATTTAATATATTGCAGTTAGAGATACATGTGGTTTTGACTGACAAAAGTAACAACTAGCAAACATACCATGAAATGTCCATTATACTTCTTTTTTTCAAGTTGACACTTTTGACTTTGTCCTAACTTTGATCATGTTGTAGATCGCTATTTGCCCCAAGACAGTGAAAACATGCGCAATTAGGCAACCATTCCTTGTGGGTCAAGTGTTACTCTGTAGGCTAACCTTGAGGCAATGTTCTTTAATGTTACCATAACTGTATTTGGATTAACCTGCAAATATGTAAAGTGTGGTGATTAGGCTAAAAAGTGACTGAAGCAAAAAAAAAGGTAATCAAAACTTGGACATGGAATTAAACTTTGGTAATGGAAGGTATTTTGGTCTTTTAAGTTTGTCATGCGGGCATAGGGGCATACTGGAGGTATGTAACATCCCGACTCCCGGGTATAATATATACTTAAATTATGTTCATTTTGTCAGGGCAACTCGATGATTTGGAGGCCCCAACTGGAGGTATGTAACATCCCGACGCTGCTGTCACGGAGGCTGCTGCTGCCACAGCCACCGCAGTCGTAGTTGCTGCGAGACCACAGGGGGTGACTCGTTGTTGTTTCGGGAGTTCAGCAACACGAAGACACCAGAGTTTGACGGGACCCAGGACCCGATTTCTTCCATGAGATGGATCTCCGACATTGAGGGGTGTTTCTATACGTGTTCATGCCTGGAGAATTTGAGAGTTCGGTTTGCACTGAACCAGCTTCGCTTGGGAGTGAAGGACTGGTGGAAGTTCGTGACGACTGATTTCACTCCTGCAGATAATGATGCAGTGACTTGGGAGAGGTTTACCCAGTTGTTCAAAGATGAGTATGTCCCCCAGGTGGAGAGGGAATGTTTGTCCCAGGAGTTTCTGTCTCTCAAACAGAAGACATAAACGGTGACAGAGATTACGAGGATGTTTCATGAGAGGGTGTTGTTCTGCCCTGAGCACGTGTCTACTGAGCAGGCACGTGTGAGCCGGTATTTGAGCATCTGAGGAGAGATATTCGGCAGTTCGTGGCGAACTCGTCATATCGGACATTGGCTGAGTTGCAGACCAATGCCAGGAGGAAAGAGATTGAGCTAGAGATTTAGACCAGATAGGAGGGAGAGCATCAGGGGAGAGATAGGAGACCAGTGCAGTCGTAGCCGGCGACGAAGCAGGCTAAGCCCGCTGATTCGAGAGCAGGAGGCCAGAAGGGCCACACTTCTGGCAAGTGTGGCAAGAGTAATGAGGGATCTTGCAGAGCAGGGACTGCCCCAAGGGATTTTCGGTTTGCAACCAGACTGGCTACCGGAAGGTCAAGTGTCCTCAGCTCACCCAGGTATCATCCCAAGCTTCCGCTCCTGCTGCTTTACGTGTTACTGATGGTCAGCCGGGGAAGGCTGAGGCTCCAAGAGCTTGTGGGAGAGCATTCCAGTTGACTGCGGAGGAGGTCCGCACAGCACCTGATGTTGTTGTTGGTATGTATCTCCTTATTCATGTTGTTTTAAGAACTGTTTATGCTTATACTGTGTTGCATATAGGTACTTTTCTTGTGAGTTCTGTGCCTGCCTTGGTGTTATTTGACTCGGGTGGGAGTCGATCTTTCATGTCCTTATCCTTTAGTCGTTACATTAGTGTTAGACACGAGGCGTTGAGTCGACCGCTGAGGGTTTCTATAGTCGATGAGCATGCGGTTTTTTCCATTGATGTATTCTGGGGATGTGTCTTAGAGATTTCGGTGTTGAGTTTCCGATAGATCTGGTACTAATAGCGATGGGTGATGTATGTGTCATGGTGGGCATGGATTGGTTGAGCCGGTTTGGAGCCGTGATTGACTGTGAGCGTCAGATGGTGATCGTACGAGACCCTAGTGAGGGAGTACTTACTGTGTATGGCGAGGGAACTAGATTCGGATCAGCTTTCTGCTATGCCGCCAGGGCGAGGCAGAGTCTACAGCAGGGGTGTATAGGCTTTTTAGCATACGTGATGGATACGCGAGTTGTCACTGAGAGTCCAAGTTCTATTTGCGATGTTCCAGTAGTGTGTGAGTTCCTGGATGTTTTCCCCGAGGAATTGTCGGGTGTGCCTCCTGAGAAGGAACCTTATCGCCTTGCGCCGCCCGAGATATAAGAGTTGTCCTTGCAGTTCCAGAAGTTGCTAGGGAAGGGTTTTATTAGACCGAGTAGCTCAACGTGGGGAGCGTCGATCCTTTTTGTCAAGAAAAAGGATGGTTCACACCGGATGTACATTGACTACCGAGAGTTGAAAAAGCTGACGGTCAAGAACCGTTATCCACTACCGAGGATCGACGATTTGTTTGATCAGTTTCAGGGGGCGTCTTGGTTTTCCAAGATTGATTTGAGATTTGGGTATCATCAGATGAGAGTCTGCGAGGAGGATATTCAGAAGACGGCCTTTCAGACTCGTTATGAGAACTACGAGTTTGTGGTGATGCCTTTCGGGCTCACCAATGCACCGGCAACGTTCATGGACCTCATGAATCGGGTGTGCATGCCCATGTTATATCGGTCAGTGATTGTGTTCATCGACAACATTTTGGTGTACTCGAGATCTAGGGAACAACATGAGGAGCATCTGCGGGAGATTCTTGGGGTATTGAGGATGAAGAGGCTCTATGCCAAATTCTCCAAGTGTGATTTATGGTTACGAGAGGTCCAGTTCTTGGGACACCTCATTAACCAGAATGGGATTTTGGTCGACCCGGCCAAGATTGAGGCAGTTATTCGATGGGAGGTGCCAAGATCCCCATCCAAGATCAGGAATTTTCTGGGTCTGGCGGGTTACTATCGGAGGTTTATCAAAGATTTCTCCAAGATTTTCGTTCCTATCACCCGTTTGACCAGGAAGGGTGTTACTTTTGTCTGGGGGGCCGAGCAGCAGGCTTCATTCGAGACTCTTCGCCAGATATTTTGCGAAGCTCCAGTGTTAGCCCTTCCGGAGGGAGTGGAGGACTTCGTAGTCTACTGTGATGCATCTATATCGGGGATGGGTGTCGTGTTGATGCAGAGGGGACACGTGATAGCATATGCGTCGAGACAGCCGAAGCCTCACGAGACGAGGTATCCCACCCATGATTTAGAGCTGGGGGCGGTGGTCTTCGCCCTCAAGATTTGGTGCCACTATCTTTATGGTGTCCGATGTA